TTGCAATAGCTCCAGTTCTTTCTGGAAGGACAAGCTCAGAAGCTGGTGCTGGAAGATTCTTGTTTGTCACCTTGACTGTTGGCCAAGAGGAACCCCATGTTCTGTTTCATCCCCCATACCATTTAACATGTCCAATGAAGAAGATTAGTTCATAATTTTGAGGTATAGTACCACTAGGTATGCTGAGAACACCATCTTTTTCCCTTTTAACTGCTAGGGGAGCTATTTCAGTCTAAACCAGGGGCTGGCATCAATAATGGATTGGATAGAATCAACAAATTGACGCTTAATCCAAACCAGACAGATATGCTGATGGTCAGTTGAAAGATACAGGGAACAGGAATTAAAAACTTTCAATAGATGGGGCTATACACCATCCATTTGAATGTACTCTTGGATTCAACCTTGAGTCTGGATGCTTATCTTTGTGCAGCATTACATTTCCACATTCAGAACTAGTGCCAGTTGCACCCCTCTGTGTAAATGTCTAATCTCATAATCCTCATCAGTGATTGTCTTACTTACATTCCATTTGGGTTATTGTAATGCACTATACTTGGGGCTATCTTTTAAAAGTGTTCAGAAACTTCATTGCAGCCAGAATGTTGACTGGAGCTGGTTATGAGGAGCACACAACTCCTTTGTTTAAAAAAAGCTCCACTGGCTATCAAACTGTTTCTAGGCAAAATCCAAAGTGCTGCTTATGATCAATGAAGTCCTGCATGGCTTGAGTCCAGACCATCTGATAAACAGTATTAATTTAATGACATTTTAATGATAATCTTTTATATGTTTTATCTTTAAATCAGTCATAGTGCCAAAATACAATCTAAAGAACATCCCTGTAGAATTTAAAGACCATGAGAAGAACACATTGTGAGCTACTAAATCTAGTCACTCATGAACCAAAAAAACTGCAGGCTAAAACTAGGGAAATTGCCAAGGAAGAATGCAAACACCTCTGTTGGTAGCCAGAAAGAAAGAAAAATCTCGTTGAATGATTGTTGTAACTCTTCATTTTTTTAAAGACAGACTAGAAACAAACATAGTTAAGTGACAGTGTTTAAATCCTGAATGCTATTGTTTAGCAACTTGTACATAAAAAAATTAAAAAATGTAATAATCAGATAGTATAAGAAGTCACCCAAAAAAGAGGTGAAATAAGAGCCCTTTCTCACAAAATCCAAGTAATCAAAGGAAAAAGTAAGCCAAGAATAGTAATACTAAATTATCAACAGGATCATACATTATATGATCAGGTCAAAATAAAAAGATAATGAAAATAATATGTTGAAGTATACAAACAAGATAAAAGAATATCAGATTCCTTCAAAGTAGAACATTTTTACAAATAAGCTACAATTTTAGAAAGGAAAGTTGAAGCTGTTCTCAAAGTACTTGGGACAAATAAATCCCTGGAAGCATAATGCATACTAATAGAGCTGTTTCAGTCTATAGAATCCATTCAAATTCAAACAAAAGTCTGCCAAAAATCAGAGAAAACAAAACAGTGAGCTATAGATTAGAAATGCTCAATATATATCCCAACCACCAAAAAAGAAGAAATCAATCATAGGAGATTAGTAAAAAATGCCAGATATGAAATTGAAAAAGGAAAAAAAACACTAGAGATAATATTAAAAACATACATTGACTGAACCAAAAAAATTCAAAAGTAAATCAACCAGGAAAGTGAAAACGGGTAGAGCTGAATAGTAAGAAAGGACAAATGATTAGCACAGGAAATTTATAGAGTGATGAAATGTGTGATGAAGACTTTCAAAGATTTTCTGTATCTTAGCTCAGTTATTAATCAAAACAAAGTGAAAAATGTATCAAGAAATCAAAACACAGCTAGAACTTGAAATGTCTGCTATGAAGAAAATAGGTAAGATCCTCAAGAATCATCTATGCCACAGTATGAGTGTGAAATCTGGACAGTTAAGAGAATTGACCATGGATGGGAAGTGAGAGTAAAATCATTTCAAATGCATACAGTAGACCACCAAAAAATAAGTGGATCTAAGTACATATAATGCCCGAACTCTGACTAGAAGCTAAAACAACTTAACTGAAACTATTTTTAACATATCATGAGACAACATTACTCATTGGAAAAGACAATAATGTTTTTGCAAACTGAGAGGTAGTAAGAAAAGCACAAGTTACAGGTGGATAGACTTGATCACAGGAAGCCATTGCCCTGAGCTTGCAGTAATTGAGCAGAACTGTTGAAGACAGTGTCTTGGAGGTAATCTCATTCAATAGGATCAACATTGTCAAAGTTGACTTATTGGCACATTGCATATTACATTTTTAACTCTGTATTCTATAAGAATGTATGTATACAATATGGGAATAGTCAATGTACTGTTGTGGCCTGGAGGCTTTTGACTTATACCAATGTAAAACAATTGGTAATGGGTTTTGTGGGTGTTATTTCGCTACCATCCAGTCTGAAAATCACAGTTTATCAGCTGTTACTCAGAATGGGAGCCCTGCACTGCACAGTATCCTGTGGATTTGTCTTCCTTTGGATTGTGCCCTGTTTCTAGGTCCTTCTAATAGTCTAGTGACTTGGCCCAAGTTCTATTATTAGTTGGTTCCAATTAGAATAGATTCACTGAATCAACTTTGAATATTCAGTCAATAAATATATCTATTCTAGTCTAAAACAATAGGGTTCAGGATTATGATCCCTAGGATCATGATAATACATTATGACCCCTAGCAATGAATTCAGCTCAGATGACTAGTTAAAGTATATTACACTTCTTCTAAGACTGGATTAGATTACTGTTTCTTGCTGGAGGCAAAAGAAGCTTGCTAAAATTGCATTAATTTTCCATGTTCTTGCGATAAGCAGGTCTCCTGGGTTAGTATCACAAAGACTTGCATGTTTCATAGCACACTGGACCACAGCATAATATGTGTCAATGATGCTAAGATTTAAAAAAACGGGGGGGGGGGGAGAAATGGTGCACTTTTTTCTTGTGCTCTTCTTTCTTTTGTTTCTCCCTTTTCAAACTTTCTTCAGCACAATGTTCCCACACCTTTTATCTTAATATCCACTAATATGTTTTTCTATCATGCTCCACTCTCTTGTGAGCAACTTTTATTCTCAATAAAAACAACTATTAAAAGATAATCAGCTTGAAAGACTTCAATATGCTGTCCAGGGAAGCAAAGATTGCGATATACCATATGTTTTTATACCCATTGTTTTTATACCCAAAAACATATCTTGTATTTTTGTTGAATTAGAAGGCCCATATACAGTATATACAGTACACCCAGAGAAATCTATATTTTTTATGTTCCAACTCAATCTTGGCAGCAACTGTGGCCCCATCTACACTGCCATATAATGCTATTTACATACATTGAATTACATTATATGAGTCTACACTTACCATATAGTGCAGTTTCAAAGTGCATTATATGGAAGTATAGATGGGGCCTCACAATATACATGGGCAGTGACTTTTTTTTACTTCTCTTTGACATAGCTTGATTGAACACACCTATAATCGGGCCTTACTGCCAATGAACGTTTAGAAAGAATTATTTAGCAATACTAGTCTTTATAGAGCACTTGTTCTGAAACACTTGAGGTTTTCAGATGAAAAATGTGATGTTTATGCTCTGCACAACAAAAACTTCTCAAAGCATTAGATGATAATAGCTATAAATCAATATATGACAAAAAATAAGCAACTGCATAAGATCTCTGTCCAGTCAGAAGAATTGGAGAAGCCCTTTGTGTTTTGTTCCTCTTGCTATCTGTTAATTATTTATTATACATCTGTGAAACATTTTTCCACTTTAGTATTGGAAAGAACCCATGTAACAAAGCCAACCTGGTATTGCCCATGGTTTCAAATATCTGTACTATCAACATGACTGTTTAAATTACTATTGCTCTTCTGAGACTTTTTGATTATAATTAAAACATTAACAAGAGCTGGCTGCCATGTTGGTGTGAATACAGCTTTGTGTGGAGACCATTACATGAATTTCCACTGAACTTGTATGGTCTCTTAACAGCTCATCCTGTACTGTTGTTTTTGGCAAGTTCACTACGCTATACAATAAATCATAGAAGGAAAGAGCTTTTTGGCCTCCTGTTGTACAGCCTGCCGTAACATTAGACTGTAGAAGCCTGTTCTGTTTTTAGACATCCTTTTACTAACCTAGCATTCATAATTTATGATTTCACTGTAGAATTCTTGCAACACTACACCAAAAGTAGTGCTTCCCTTTAATTAAGTGCTCTCAGTAGGAAAAACGTGAAACTGATGTGCAAAACATATCGCTGTACACAGTGATTGATAGTGATTACTTCTTTATGAACCCTGCCTGAGGGCCTGAACTTCCTGATGGGTAACATAGGCCATTGGCTACTTCCTGAGATTGCCGAGTGCAGATGAGTCAGTCTTAGTAATATTTGAGGAATTCCTCAAGGCACAATATGGAGACACTTAGAATAAAAACGTGCAATAAACTGTATTTGCTTTTATAGTTACTTGGGTAATACCTTATTGCACAGATTCTATTTCAAATAACCATAATCACTATTGTTATTGTGATCACTACTTCTACTGCTTTTTACAAAACATCTAAAATATATTGAAATAAAAATAGAATAGAATCTAACATTATCTAACATTTCAGGTATGTTCCACCTAAAGAGTTTTACTAGCTTCCTTAAGGATTGTATAAAATAATTCTAAAAGATTAAAGCCTCCTTTCATTTTCAGGTAGACAAATTCAGCTTCATAATGAATTCAAACTGTAAAGTGTTCAGTTTCGAGAGGTGGATGAGAATTTTGCTTCAGTTCATTTTTTACATAAATTTACCAGAATTGCAACCTTCAACTATGGGACAAAATGACAGTGACCTCTATGTGTGTCAATTATTTGTAGCTTCATAGACTCATATTGTAAATGTGCCTATGATTATCTATTTAGCCCTGTCTTGTCTTTTATCTTTAATGCAGATTTGGTCCAGGGCTGGTTATCTACTGGTATGGATTTATTGAGGAGCTGGATTGTCATCGCAACCGTGGTATATTGCTAAAAGACTGCTTCCCTGAAGACATAGTTACTCTTTGAGAAGGCATGGGTGAGCTGTAAATGGAAGAAAATTTAGAGGAAAAGGCAAATCCGGAAGTGATATTATTTTCCTCCAGTATAAACTACTGGCAACATCTGCGCTGAACTTGGGTTGAACTCTTTACTGCCTGGGATCACCCTACTAGTACTTTAGATAAACACATCAAGGGTTTCTGTTTTATTTCAACCCTCTGCTGATGCAAGCAGCCAAAAACTACAGACACAGCCCAAAAATTATCAGCATTTCTGTCTCTGTCAAACAGTTTATAGATAGCTATAATCTTTCTTCCTTCCGGAGGGTTTCTCCTTGCACTTTCAACAAAAGAATTGTGGAGGCTAAAAGGTGTGGTTTTCAGTTTTTCTCCCAGTTATGAAGCCACCTCAGGAAAAATGTCTTCTGTCACACAAATCTTTTTCTGATCAGTGTTATGAAACAAGCTAATGCAAACTTGGGTAAAGTACTAAATGTCCATTCTTAGCATTCATATTGTGCCAGCCTAATACAGTGCATAGGGGATAAGAAAGCTTGCCATCTGGCAAGGCACTATTGTCACTCTGACCTTCCTGGCTTCCAAGACATAAAGTCAAACCATTGGCATTTTAATGTAATTTTAATTGCTGATATATGAGCTACTCATTTTCATTTGTTAAATGATAATTACAGAATTTTTGTTTCTTGAGAAATGATGTTATATGTGAAATCAAAACTCAAAAATGTGTAGCAGGTGTTTAAATACAGATGTTTGAACGTTAAATAAAGTGAAACGTATTTGAACTTGCATCTCTTATCCTAGAAATCCGATTGATGTCTGACCCACTCTGTATCAACAGGTCTCAGGGCAAGGCACAGTCTATAAAGCCAATATAAAGTCTTTTTTCGTGTCAGGATGACTTGGGAAACAGCAAGTCATTTCTGGTGTGAGAGAATTGGCAATCTGCAAAGATGTTGTCTGGAGGACACCCATATGTTTTACCATCCTGGGAGGCTTCTCTCATGTCCCTGCATGAGAAGCTGGAGTTGACAGATGGGAGCTCACCTTGCTCCCTGGATTTGAACCGCAGACCTTTCAGTCAGCAGTCTTGCCGGCACAAGGGTTTAACCCATTGCACCACAGGGAGCTCCATGAAACCATCAAACATACAAATACTTTTGAACAATATAAACCATTCACACAGTTGCCCTTACTCTCTTCCCCCAGTTAATTTGCAGCAGGGATCAGGACCCACAGTAGCCCCTTTTGCTCAAGCATCCTCAAATTCATAACCATTGAACAAGCTGGCTCGGGCTTCTGGGAACTGGAGGCGCAAACAGCTTGGAGGGGCGCAGTTTGAAGGTGCCTGCCTTAGCTCAATGTTGGGGGTCCCAAAACAACTGACAGTAGTAAAAGTTTTCTGAGCATCATCTAGTGACTATTTTAGACATTTATACGACTCTGTTATGCAGTGTTTGTAGAAGATGTCTTAGCTGTACTTAAGGTAAAGGACAATCACCCTGTTTAAGCAAGGCTTGCAAATGCTGATTTGCTGTCTGTAAATGTTTGATGTTTATACTTATTTCATATCTCTATAGACCTGGGGTTGCAAAAGGAGTCACAAGTGGAAAAGTTTAAGAAGCTTGGTCTCTAGACCATGGGCTAGCTAGCTATCTGGTATTTAAAAAAAATAGCTACATGATGCATAAATATTTCAGAATTATTTTATCATTGTTTTCTACTTGGTAAATAGGCCTTATATTAAGGCCTTATTGGATATTTTTAATTATTAAAAAGAACTTTTTTGCAAGCTCCTGTAATTCATTTATGTTCAACATAATCCAAGGGGCTCATGGGTCTGCTTGCACTTAAAAGACGGCAGAAGAATACTGCTGTGTGTAACTGATGGGTATTGTCCGGAAATAGCATTCAGGGTGCTACTATCTGGCATGTTTAAAACCTTGATCACAGTTAAAATGAACAAATGTAGAATTATTACAATACTAAACTGAAGGTGAGGGTTTCTCGAGATGTAAAAGCCTCTGAGGGTAAAACTGGTGGTACATCTGCATTCTGTTGTGTGAAATAATCTGTAACAGCAGCCTTTGTAAGATGGCCTAGTAGTTCTCCATTTCCCTCACTTTGGAATAAATTAAATTTATCTGCACAGATGTTAAAAATTGTGCTCAAGCCTCATCTAATCTTTGTTTTGTTTGGATTTTACATTAGATTTATGTTCAGGAATGATAAATAAAATGTGGTGCTTGTATATTGGGATTTATACCCTTCCATAACATAACAGGTTGGGAGACTATACTAGTATCTTCAATCAAAGTTTTTGACTTTATATACACTCCTTTCTGTGTAGTGATTTTTAAAGTGTATGATACAAAAGACACGATGTTGAGCTGTTTTAACTATAACCAAAATTATTTAAAATATTACTAAATTAAAAATATTTTCTTTTTATGTTTCAAAATAATGTATGTGTTTCTTTTCTTTACCCACTATAAATATTTAGTTCTGAGGAGAAAAAAGGCAGTTGCAATCTTGTCAGTGCTATAGTGATTAGAACCTTAACATTACAGCCAAATCCAGTTTTATGGAAAGAGTATTCAGCAGAGTGTGCTAATGAATTATGCCAAGCAAGAAAAACAGAAGTGTGCATAAAACTGAATGATGTTCTACTGGCATATATAGACTTACCAAGCATCTGCTCTTACAAACACTGTAAAAAGGCCTTTCAATGAGCCATAGAAAGTGTGCACAATAAGTCAAATATGGAAGCTTTTTTTAAAAAAAGTATTTGGTACATCAATAAACAAACTGATGGACACACACAGGTTCATTCTCAGTTGCTGGTGGATGAGTTATAGCACAAGTATATATGTACCTAGTCCATGAAAGGTCTGAGCAGTGGTGTCTCATACTTTTAACAAAAGGCTCCTGGGATAGGAATGGACTGAAAGGGGTGATACCTACCCCCACTTGTACCCTTCTGTATAAAAGTAAGCACAAGCATTCCATACAATGCTCTGTTCACTCCTTCTGTCCAACTCTGGTCAAAAGCTACAGTTCTCTTATTCTTAACTGGATTAGAACTGAATACAGGAAAATATGATGAATATCCTGTGTTTCCCAGTAGTGTTAAGATTCCACATTCAGAACTGTGCTGTAACCCCCAAGACTCACAGTTTTCCTCAAAGCAGCCATTCTCTGGCTGGTGGAAGGAGTCTGCCTCAGAGCCAAACTCAGACCAATGACATTGTATGGAATCATAGAGTTGGAAGAGACCTCTTGGGCCACCCAGTCCAACCTCCTGCCAAGAAGCAGGAAAATCACATTCAAAGCAACCCCAACAGATGCCCATCCAGCCTCTGTTTCAAAGCCTCCAAAGAAGGAGCCTCCAACACACTCCGGGACATCCAGTGAAATCTCAGTGGATGATATCATCAGTCTGCCTATGGCTACCAATGGCTGTTCAGGCAATATCACACCAGAAGAATCAGTTCTTGGGGGGTGGGGATAGTTGAAGAGGTTGCAAGAGAGTTATTGTGTACCTTTAAGTCAGTTTTAACATATAATGACACTAAGATAAATCTGTATCATTGAGTTTTCCTAGCAAGATTTGTTCCGAAGAAGTTTGATTTTTCTTTCTTCTATGACAGGAAGAGTATGGCTTGCCCAAGGTGACTGAGTAACTATTTAAACCCTTGCCCCCAGAGTAATAGTCCAAAGCTCAAACCATACTGCCTCTCGAAAGAGAATACCAACAACCAAAAAAATATCCATAGGCATACATCAGACTTACCATGCACACGTCATTAACAGGATGCCAGACAGTAATTTGAAATTAGTGGATTATTTCAACAGATAACAAACCATCAAAGTTAGAAAAGTCGCTTTTTCGTATTAATTTCTTTCTGTTACTGCCCCCTGTTCTGTACTCAATTAATCAAAAGTTTTTATTGTTATGTCACACTTCTTTAAAAGTTATGTTTTGCTCCTTAGTTGTTATTCTTCCACTTTAAGAAAAACTTCCGGTCGGCGGCGATGGCGGCAGGACGCAGGTAGCTCGAGCTCCGGGCGTCTACCTGCAACTCATAGTGAGTTACTGGGTTGAGCTTGCCTCCCCTCCCTCTGTGGATGGATACAGAGGGGTACGCTAGAACCCGGTGGGTCCCTGTCAGGGACTGTGGGTGCGCGAGTGACCACATGAGAAACGGACCGAATGGTCCGTACTAACTGCCAACTACCGCAATATCACTAAGGGAATTGACAAGGACCTGGGGCGAAGGCCCCGAAAAGAGGACATTTGTTTCCCGCTGAGCAGGAAATGGGGGCACCCCCTCTGAAGGCCTGAAAGACTCGAGACAAAGGCACAAGCAAGCAACAAAGAAACAACTGAGGGTTGGGCGACCACAACGTGGCGGCGCGACAGAAGAGGCTTGCGAGGAGCAGCGTTCAAGACTTAGAAGGGATTGACTGAGGAAAATAGGCTAAGGCATCTGAGCTACGTTTTATTGAAACGTGCTTTTGACCCTCTGAACCTTTTGATCGACACGGGGGCAGTCAAGCAGTCAGCAGTCAAGCAACTCTTGATCAACCTTTTGACCACCGACTAGCCGACTAGCCAGTGGGGACAACTTGTGAAACCACCGGGAAGGTGAGACCGAGAGGGGACTGGAGGGACGCGGAGAGACGCGGAGCGGCTACTCGAGAGGCCCCCAGACGAGGAGGAGAATCTCCCGAACCCCCCCCATTACCCGCGAGGAGCCCACCTGCGGAACGGCTACACGAGGAGACAGTCACGAGAGGAGACCACCCGGGCCTCCCATACCCGCGAGGAGACCAACAAAGGCCCTCGCGAGGGAGGAAAGAGGGAGGAGCCAACGGAGCCAAGCGCGCCAAGAAGGAACGAGGCGGTGGAAGTTACGCAGCGACGCAAGGACGCGACGCAACGCGGTGGAAGTGGCGCAAGCATCCAGGAAGGATAGAAGGAGAGAGAGGGGAGAAGCGAAGAGAAGAGAAGAGAAGAGAAGAAAAGAAGAGAAGCAAAGGGGAACAAGAAGAATTAAGGGACCAAACCAGGGACTAGATCAAAGATCAGAATAGCGATCTAACGAATAAGGAAAGAAGAAGAACATTGAAGAATTTGCGACTCCGCAGAGGACACGAGAGGGGAACCAGGCAGAGCAGAGGAACGGGAAGGGATAGAGTGGAGAAGCAGCTAATGGTAACCAAATTGACTGTTTTTTTTTTAACTTGAGAACTATATAAGGGGACTAAGAGGGCTGAACCCGGAAAGAGTGGGGAAGGAAGGGCTCGAAGGCCCGAGGGGTTAGACAAAACAGAAGAAAAACTGAAATTATAGGGGTCAAAAAGGACAAGAACAAAGCTAGGGAACAGGGAAGGGGGATCATATAGACGCAAGGACCCCAACTTAAGGATTAAGGAACAAGGCTCTGAGTCTGGCAAGACCCATTATGGAAGGTTAGAAGTAAGGAAAACAAGGCTGAAAATAGTGCTGCAAAACAAGGCTGTAATAACTAATGTGTGACATATCCTTAAGGTATCAAATATATAGCAGTTAACTTTCATTGTTTACTTACCCTGTCTAATCCCGCTTTTGGGAATTGATCACCTGACGGAAAACAACAAATAGCTAAAAAGGGCATATAGAAGGTCAAAACTAAAATAATGACCTCACAAAAAGCAAAGATGGAAAAAGAAATTAAAGACTTAAAAAGCACAGGAAGAAGAGGCTCGGGACAGGAAGAGGTAAATATGAAAGATATATGGA